GAGATAATGAATTTCATTCAAGAAGATGCTGCTGTGGGTTCCAAAATTTAGCTAGGTGCAGTTCAAAGTGCCCTAAAAGAAGATCCGACACGGATTTAGTAATGTGTGCCAATTTGACGTGCAGTAGCAGTTTTTGGCTGACCGAACTAGCCCCTCACTGTTCCGCTGGCTGTGTGGGGGGGGGGGGGGGCGATCATGTTCGCCCTCCTGTCACGCTTCCTGGAGCTGGTGAGCGCGTTTCTGGGACGTTTGGTTCTGATGCGTAGAAGGCATGTGAGGCCTTCCCGACTTCATCGTGCTTCTATCAGTTGGCTTGCACGCAAAGACTCTGGCGGATCCCGGTGTGTCTTGATGCGGATAGCATGACGCCTTGCTTGCCCACTGCTACGACGTTTTTGGTATTATTGCTGCTTCTCCGCCTCCGGCATTTTGTAAGTATATCATTTGGTATCATGTTGTATATCTGTGTTCTAGGTCTGTTTTACTGCTTTACGTCCGGTACACCGCAACGTATGCACTAAAATTATTAAATGCGTGGAGTTATTTTTTCTCATATGGGCTGCGTATCATGCATGGGCAGAATCGTCTGTTTTCCGACCGAGTTGTTCTGACGCCAACCTGCTCACCTATGTCGGTGGTGAGTTCGAAATGTCGCATGTTGTCGTCACGTGTTCAATATTCAGCCAGTTGAGAGGGGCTGAAGCGTCAATCACGACAAGACGACTGTCATTTTTTCAATTCAAGGTCAAACTTAGTAGGCTCACACATGAAAGTAACCAATACCGTGACCCAACATCATGTGACGTTTAGACTAGAACGACAGGCAACTGAGCCGGGAATATGCCTTGGCGACCGATCAAAATAAGGGAAAGACATTTGCATCCAAGATGTTAAGATATCTCGAACCCAGCAAGCACAGTTTGCATTCCAACACTCAGCAGGCCTCGAGAAGAAAGACGTAAGTATCTAGCATAACTGGATAAGCATCATAGGCCCCAGAGCGACAGTAGCGCTGCGTATAAGCCAGGCGTTAGTACTAGTGGCGCCACCTAGGTTAGCGTTGCAGCGCCGGCGCCAAATGAACTGCAATTCAAAGCCAAGGCGCTAAATTTCAAAAGCACACCTGGCGTACGAGAGGCCATGGCGCTTTTTCTAACGTTGAAAGCGTCTCAGCCGTCTGTACTTTCTCAATCTTCCCAAAAGCTGCCTCTGAAAAACCCTCTCCTATGGACTTAAAATGCTGTGACTCATCCAGGCGCCCTGCCGCGACAGCGCAGCGGGGTAGCCAGATAACCTTTGAGGGGCCCTGACTTTAATTCAGTGAGGGAGCTCCTTGTGACGATCTGGGACCACAGTGGAAAGGGCCCTTAATTGGTAAGGCGCACCGTAATTTTTGTGAACTACTTATCAGATATTTATAAATCTTGGCAAATAAAACTGGATAGTACGCAGAACATCATCTTTCTGCATCATGATGACCATGGATGGCATGCTGCCAAAAAAGTAAATTACAGGAATGAATAATGCAAAAAGAACAGCCAAAATTGCCGTTCACCGAAATATGAAGGCCTACATTCGTTGAGAAATACACTTTTAGGGAAGTTTACCGTCATGGACCGGCTTCCCTCCCCCCCCCCCCCCAATCATTTACAGAAATAGATGTCCCTGTTGGGCAGTCTTCATATCGATCATGAGCGAGCTGCATCCGGCAGGTACATATGATCAACGCGCATATTAGATGGCGTAGAATTAAACAACATTATAGGAATGTACTTTCCACACTACGGCCAACCATTACAATGCAATACGTGTGAGAAGTGAAGACCTCCGGAGGATTCTCTCCATATCATCGATAATGGACACACTATTAGCAGCAGAGGCACAAAACAAGCTGACAGACGGTCTATATTTCAATAGTGAGCATGAGCTTGAGCAACCAAGCTGATTCCATCTTACAGGTCAACTGGTCAACTTTTGCTCACATTCGCCGCTTCCGTTGTGTGTTCTTTTTTCATTTGCATTTGATATGCAAGGGTCACCAAGTGCAACTGTGAATCCCGTTTTACGAACAACTATGTATGAACCGCACAATGTGGAAAATTCCATTGCAAATGGTAAATACGGTCTTGCAATATTCAGATAAACTCGGGTGGGAAACTCCATTCTGTTTCCCGCGCAGCCAGATGTTACGTTCAATGTCGTTCCGTGGAAATTTGAACGCCATCTCAAGACATGTCGAGGAAATTTTTGAAACATCGCGGAGGACGCATACACCCCATCAGTGCGAAGATTAAAACGGTGTCAGTGTAAAAGCGAAAACGGATATGCGTGAAGAATTGGGGACAGGCAGCCTAACCGTCGGGTTTCGTCCGTACCAATGGCAAGCAGATTATTGGCAGGTGGTGCATATAGTCGGTAGACGACCTGTTAAAATGATGTGTCGGGGAAGATGGTCAGCCTTGCAAGCTCATGTACAGCAAGCCGTTAAAATACGGCTCGTCTCAGAGGGGATCGCGAGAAGCCCGTGTGGGAGCCGACCAGCGTCACACGCCAAACGGTAAAGGTGCTCTTTTGCTGGATTGAATAGCACAGTGTTCAAGTGTTTTGCAAACTGAGGAATGCACAGCTTTGATTAAGAAGCACAAATATTGTCAATACAGAAAAACAAGCAACGGAAATTCTTATTCGATGCAGTGCTGGATGTGCAACCGGTGATGCCTGATGTGATCTCTGTGATGGTGGCACGATAATTTTCCATGAATACGTTTGAATGTTCAGTACAGTCGTCCCACCTCAAACACACTGAGAATCGGTAATTTTGAGGTTAGCTTCGCCTTTGCATCTGCGAAGAACTATGAAATAGAGATGGCCAGGCTAGTTGTGTCTGGATGGCTTTATTTGGCATCGACTCTAGAGATCTGCCGTTAGTAGTGTTTTGCGTTAAAAACTGTTCATTTCACCGTAACCTGAGATGGTGTTTGGTTTCCACTAGGCAGTTGACATATGTAGTGTACACCTGTTTCCCTGTGCACCTCTCTTGTTCACCAAAAGTGCACGCATCACGACTCTTACTCCCCGACAGAAAAGGCGGTGGAGCTATAGCAGATGGCCGGTGTTTTAACCGACCAGAATGGCCGGTATTTTAACGGATGGCCAGCTTGCTACGTTATCTTAATGGGCGGGTCAGAAACTCGTACTCTCGCCCGCACCTTCCCTGACATGTCGTTGTCAATTAATGGCAATGACAGATACGTCATACTTTTTGTCGGTCCCATGAGCACCACATTCAAGCTTGTTTGAATGGTTTACTTTGAATTTCGCCTATTTCATGATGGTAGGAGGGAAGCCGTTTGACCGCAAACGCGCCTCGACCTTTGCTTTTCTTCGTAGAACGGCCGCTGGGTTTGAAACCACTCGTTTAGCTCGCAGTATTTGTGAGTTAAGCACTACGAGTTTTGTCTGAATTGGGTGTGTCGAGGTGCAATGGAGGTGATGGGGTTACCATTGGGTTGCACGAAACCACGGCGTGAAATATACCATCTGGGGGCACGGTATGCAGAAATGGTACTGGAAGGCGTACTGTTGTCTGTTTTGTCAACGGAAAATTTCCCTGACGGGTGAGAGTTATTTAAGAAGTTATGACGCTCGCTTCACGTTTAAGCACCGTGTGTCCATACCCCCATGATGTCACTTATGTATCGGATATGCACATACTACCTTGCGAGTAGGCTATTCAAGGGTGAGGGGGGGGGGGGGGTGCGCCGAAAACTTTGGCTACGAAATACCCACCCGTAACACGTCTTTCGGTGGCCAGTCTTTGATCCAACACACACAGGCCGCAGCTACAAATCCCTTAGAACCACGCATTTGTATAGAGAATAAGACCGAACACCGATTCGATTCTGACCTGAAGCCCACGGCCGGATCTAACTGTGCAGGGCTCATCTTGGCCGACAATGCCAGTGCGATGATCGCTTGATGCGCGGTGTGTGTGAACTATTTTGTTTCCATTTACGTGCTTTCATCGCTCTTACGCCCAGTCAGACACATTATATCGCAGAACCACTATTTGAAATGGTGGCTCGCAATTATTGCTTTAAAATGTGTGGAATGCTGGTCGTCTGTTAAAACAGCCTCACTGCTTATAATAGGACAACATAAAAACGCAGCCTGGTTTGGATGCCATCTTCGTGTATTAAGCGGGCTTTTTCGGAGAACAGCTGATACGAACTTTCCATGCATCACTATTGTCACATCCCAAACTTAGTCGCTTTTGTGCTCTTTGTCATCGTTGCTTTATTCACACAACCCCCCACCAATTCACTCTACCGCACTGCATCAGTAAACGCAGAATTGCTTCACTTTCGCGCCCACAATGCGCGCAGACGCTACTAACTTCAAATAATTTTAAAGTGTTTGTCGTCAGACCAGACTACCTAACGTCTGGCGAGCAAGCACGATACATTACCTGCGCGTTCACGCTCTATTCCCTTCCCGTGATCTTGGTTCTGTGCAGCGTTGCTTCATCGCATGTGTTAGTAAACAGCCTTTAAACCTGGTGTGGCTCCACTTGTAAATGAAGTTACAGCGTTCAGGATGTTTCTTCTACATTTCCACACATAGGATTCTTGTTCAACAGACACCTCAGTCGAACCATTCACCATGCCCGTACAGGCCAATCCACGGTTTATTGCAGCACTGGGAGCATCTAGAACAATTCCATCACAGCTGTGTATTGGAGGCAATGTGAACCATTCTGACCGACAATGACTTCTCGTAGTTCGTCCGCTCACATTTAAGTGCAGTCTGATCGTAAGAGCTCAAAGAAAATACGTGCACGGCATCCGTACCAGCCATGTTACAGACCACAGCCTGCGCTGAAAGCCGCGATGACCGGAGCCCTCAGCGCTCCAAATACCACCGAGGAAAGCCCGCGACGCTTCCCATGAACCACGACACAAGACACGACGCAACGCCGCTCAAAAAGCTCCCACCAAAATATGACAAACCATGTCCGGGTGGCTGTGAAGGGGAAGGATAAGCAATTACCGACGACTGATCAGTCATGTCGTGTTTGGGAGCTGGCGTCCCAAAGTACATCACTTACGGTCACCATGGTAACCCGCTCGCATACCAAAAATCGGGCGTTGCACGCCATGTGTCCAGCACCTGCTGTTCTGTACCCTCTCCCGCCGCGCGTGACTCGACTCAGCTCGACCTGATCCCTGCGTCTGACGCGCGCCGCCATACGAGCCCCGTTTGACGCACACCGCCCCCAGCGCCACACGCGAGCCCCGTCTGAAGCGCACCGCTCCCAGCGCCCCACGCGAGCTCCGTCTGAAGCGCACCGCTCCCAGCGACACACGCGAGCCCCGTCTGAAGCGCACCGCTCCCAGCGCCACACGCGAGCCCCGTCTGAAGCGCACCGCTCCCAGCGCCCCACGCGAGCTCCGTCTGAAGCGCACCGCTCCCAGCGACACACGCGAGCCCCGTCTGAAGCGCACCGCTCCCAGCGACACACGCGAGCCCCAGCTACAGGCATGTCACTCAACCATCTGCAGCGCCATCTCGGACGTGAGGAAGTGCACCACCTGGCCGATGATGGCCGTGCGCAGCTCGCCCATGACGCTGCCCGTGGCCAGCATGGCGAGCGCCGTGATGACGTCATCGGCGCGGATGCGCTGCACCAGGCTGCTGGCAGAGGCCACCAGCCGCCGCTGCCGGTCCAGCGGCATCTCCCGGATCACCTGCGCCGCCGGCCGGAACTGGTCGCGGCTCATGGCGTACGCCGCTCCGCCGCCGGCAGTGCCGCCTGCCGGAGCCGGCCGGAGTTAGAGGTGGCTCACGCGAAGGGGGAACGTGTCAGCTGCCGGGGAGCAGTGAAGATTTCGGAGTAGACCTTTGGATCAGATCGTGCGAGGCGCTGACTCACTCGACCTGGTTGGCAGTGTTTGGCAAACAAGCAGTACGGCCGTTTTTGCACTCCAGGAACACTACGAGACAGGAGATATCAGGATAAGGAGAGCACGCGTCCAGTTCTAGAGCAGGCAACGACCGAACTACTTTCAGGACTCAGAAGCATCCACTAACCGGCCTCAACAGCACTCTCGGCGGAAGCAATACGGTAGTCTTGGGGCTTTCGGATGCTTCTCTCAGCAGAAACAACACACAAAAACTGGATCTCATAAACAAACGATCGACGCTAGCCAGTCGCCTTCGTGGCTGTGACCACATGTACCGGTGCGCGGAGGCTACAGAGATCATACCAGACCAATGCGCACGGTCTTATATCAGAAGACAAGTCTATGGTAACGGTGACAGTGCGGCAGTGCTGCTAAATGGTGTCCAGTCAGATATAGTCATCCGACTGACCAGCTGACCGGACGGCAGAAGGGGGGGGGATGACCCAGCGGCGGGGCAAGACCGACCCACCGGTGGGTGAGACTGACCCAGCAGTGAGGTGAGACCGACCCAGTAGTGAATGAAACCGACCCAGCGGCGGAAGAGAATGATCCAGCGGGGGGGGGGGGGGGGTAAGACTGACCCAGCGCCGGGTGAGATTGACCTAGTGGCGGGGGAGGCTGACACAACGGTGGGGAGACTGACCCAGCCGTGAGCTGAGACTGACACTGCCGGTGGGTGAGACTGACCCAGCGGCGGGGGGACTGCCCCAGCGGCGTGGGAGACTGACCCAGCGGGGAGGGGACTGACCCAGCGGCGGGGGAGACTGACCTAGCGGCGGGTGAGACTGACCCAGCGGCGGAGGAGACTGACCCAGCCGTGAGCTGAGACTGACACTGCCGATGGGTGAAACTGACCCAGCGGCGGGGGGGGGGGACTGACCAAGAAGCAGACCGGGCGGGCCGAGCGCCACGCCGCCGACGAACGCGCCCAAGCCGGCCACCAGCGCGCCCCAGGCCGAGCCCTTCACGGTGACGCGCAAGTCCTCCTCCTCGGCCAGCTGCGCTAGCAGCGCTAGACAGTCGTGCCGGTCGAGCGGCATGGCGGCGGCGTCAGGACGGACGGCGGCTGACCGGGCGGCGTGAGGGCAGCGGCCGGAGACAGCTGCCGGACAGACGGAGGGGCGTGAACTGACGCACAGCGTGCCACCTGAACGCCTCAAAAAGGCTGTCGCCATCCGATCGGAGACAGACAGCGATCAAACGCTGGCACGGGAAGCACCGCGGGATATCGTCACTCATCACTGCCATCGTTGGCGACGGAAACAGCGCTCCGCGGCTACACATGGGCGGAAGGCCCAGTCCGAATGGGCAGTACATGTACCGCCGCCAGACAAACCTCGTAGTAACAAAAGTAACGATCCGCATCGGCCCATTCTTCATAGTACACGCGACCCTACTGACGCAATTTACTGCTGTTTCGGAGGTGAGGCACATGCGCGATCAGCATCAGTGCAAGCCCTAATAGGATAGGAGCAGCAATAGAAGTAGGTGGTACAGCCCATGGAGGCGTACAGAACGCAGCCAATGGCGGAAACGGACATAATCTCCAGTCTTTGTAACGCCATCCGACTAAAAGCATCACTATTGATCACGTCATTTACATGTGATTGCGATCTACCCGAGTACTTGCTCAGCATCCCGAATGATCGTCACCATGGGTGATTTAAATTGTAAGCTACTGGACCATGCTAGTACCGTTACAAAGGACCGGTTCAATAAGATGCCCCGATCGTTTCATCTGAATCAGTTTGTCAGAGAGCTCAATTTTCTTCGGGTCACTTTTAAACGTGGTCATTTTCAACGAAAAGACGATAACGTTTTGGAGCTTTTCATGGTGCTTTTTGCTCTTACCGTTTTGTTTGCACGCTCTTAATTTTGCCAAAGTGTTGTGTCAAGCCTCCCCGTATCCATACTCGACTACTGAAACGGGTTGACTATGTTTGTTTGCCTCATGGTTTGTACAATGTCAACTGGTCCGGTGTTTTTAGGCGCTCATTAGTCACTGATACATGGTCCCATTTGCTTGACCGTCTTACACCAATCATCGACAAACACGCTCCGATCCAACTAATGGCATGAAGGAATCCAGGCGCACAAGCTGTCATCCCGGTGACCTTTCACCTCATGTCACAGCAAAGGCACAGCTCCCTATTGCGTCGCGAGGGGAGATCGCCGGCTTTCAGCGAACTGGACCGGAGGGTGAGGTCGGCGATCAGGCGTGACTGCCGAGTGGGTACTGAGGACAGGTTGCAAGCGCAGGGGAGCAGTTCGCTGTAACGCATTATCCACCCGATGTTGGCGGGGAAAAACAGCGGTGCTCGCAACCTGCCAGCCGCGACCCCGGACGAGATGAATAATTATGTTGTCTAACGATCCCCGTGTTGCAGCCAACCTGACTGGTCTCGGACAGTCACCTGACGTCGTTATCAACACCTGCCTCACCTTCTGCAATTTTCCCAATTCCTGGAAACACTCCCTAACTCACTCCATTTTCAAATCCGGCGATCCAATCCCGGTCTCCATTTACCGTCTTATTTCTATCGTTCTTATCACGGCCAATATTGTCGAGCGTGTGGCGCAGCGTCAGGTGTTCACCTTTATGTCCGGCAATCGTCTTCTGTCCTCGTCCCAACATGGTTTCCGTCCCCGCCATTCCACCGGGACTGTTCTGCTCATCGTGGCCAACCGCATCTTTTCAAAAACGATCGTGGTCATCTTTCACTTCCGTGCCTCTTGGATCTCAGTAAATGTTTTGACGCCACTCCTCACGCTCAACTACTTTCCAAGTTCCAGCTATATGATACTGGCCCGGCTTGGTTCGCCTCCTATCTTACTGGCCATTTCCAGTCAGTCTTCCTCTCTTGGTGACAAAATGGTCTCCAATCCCCTCCCCAATACCATGGGAGTCTTCCAAGGATCAGCCCCCCGCCCCGTCCTCTGTTATTCACAATCTTCGCCAACGACCTCGGCCTGCACGCGCCGGACGCTCATATGACCAGTACGCTGACGACAGAAATCCTCATATCCGATGTCAAACGCAACCTTTCTTCCCTCGTCCAACGTATGGAAACATTCCTGTCCTCCCTAGCATCGTGGTTCCGTGCCCGCAGTCTCAATTTCAACACATCCAAAACCGAACTCGTTCTCCTTGGCACCCGACAGAACACTCGCGGACTTTTCCCTGTCAGCGTACGGGTCGGCGGGGAGATCGTTCGGGGGAGCCCGACCGTAAAAAGTTGGGTGTGCTACTTGACCGCCACCTGATCTGGGACGCACACGTCAGTGATGTAGTAAAAAAGAGCATCGGCGTCCAGATCGGTCTCTGACACCTGAGGTATTTCCTCCCGCAGCGAGTGCTGCTGAACATAATGCAGGACCTTCCCACATTGCGCGTGAGTTACCACTGCGTTTCGGTTTATGGCCAGGGGTCAGCTGCTGCTTAAAGTAGTTAACTTCTCTACCAGATGCAACAGTTCAATGCAACCATACCATCCAATGCCTTACCGGTGGCCGCGGACGGGACGACAACCGTAAGCCCGACACGTAGCCCGGCGGAGAGTTCCCACCGCCGGAGAAGGGGCCCGGGACTCCCTGCCGTTAGCACCGAACAGGTCTCGCTGACGTCAGCCACAACTCACTGAGCCCACACTTGTCCACTGAAGATACCCCGTCGATCCTTGGTCATAGTCGAGGAGCGTGCGAATAACTCATAGAGTACGTGCGTGTGAGCACGGTGCATCATTGGGGGAGGGGGAAGCAAAGGGTGAATTTTCCTGCCCCTGCCAGCAGGCAAGGAGGCAAGGGTATGTTTCGCCTTCCCAAAATGGGGCCTTTTTGCAAAACTAAAACCTTTTTGAGGGTTCAAGTCAAGGATCTCTTAACTGAGCTAGAGAACAATAAATGAGACCCAGAAGACTCCTTTCTACATCAAGAGGTACGTTTTCCGGACCATAAGGCCACGCTTATATATGAGGGCCGCCTTTATGAATAATACAGTAGTCCATGCTCTATATCAGGATGCAAATGTTGCATAAAGAAGCCCCTTTGCTAGATGGAGAGACACCGTTTATGAACTAGGAGGCCCTGCGCTGGGTTAAGTGGCACTGTCTATTTTAAGGAGGCCCATTTTGGGGCAGGAGGCCTTTTCGTACGTCACATAGCCACGGTTTTGAATTAGGATGCCCTATTTTTCGATAACGAAGCCTTTGACTAGCTTTGGAGGCCCATCGTGAACCGAAATCCGTTATTTTGTTTTGCTGCCGACGGTTAGTTGCTTGAATGTGATGATTGTAACTGGTTTATAAAGGAACATATGCCCACTGTACCAATTCTCCTTCAATACTGCACAACCCATGGGTCCCTGTTTTGTCCAGGAGGCCCCCTTGAAACTCCTGCCCCCAACTCAAAATGCGTGCCGCCGCCCCTGCGCGCGTGGTTGGGGCTTTGGCTTATCTCTCGTGCGAAAGACCGGGTAGTGGTCTGAGAAGGGGAGACGTTGTTTATTACCGCATTATCTTCAGCACCTACACACACGCACACGCACACGCACATGCACACACACACACACACACACACACACACACACACACACACACACACACACACACACACACACACACACACACACACACACACACACACACACACACACACACACACACACACACATGTACATACACACGCGCGCGCACGCACACGAACACGAACACGAACACGCACACGCACACGCACACAAACATATCCACATGGCTGGGGTTAAATTAATCATTCATCCTTTCGGAATCGCGGCTGACAGGTTGCGAGCACTGCTCTTAGTCCACGATAACGCCGGGGGGGGGGGGGGGGGAATAATGCGTTACAGCGAACTGCTCCCCTGCGCTTGCAACCTGTCCTCAGTACCCACTCGGCAGTCACGCCTGATCGCCGACCTCAGCCTCCGGTCCAGTTCGCGGTGAGCCGGCGATCTCCCCTCGCGACGCAACACGTCCCTTCGCTGTGCCATGAGGTAAAAGGTCACCGTTATGACAGCTTGTGCGCCTGGATTCCTTCATGTCATTAGTTGGATCGGAGCGCGTTTGTTGATGATTGGTGTAAAACAGTCAAGCAAATGGGACCACATATCAGCGACTAATAAACGCCTAAAAACGCCAGACCGGTCGACATGGTGCAACAAACGTGGTCATGGTGCAACAAACGTGGTCATGGTGCTACAAACGTGGTCATGGTGCAACAAACGTGGTCAGCCCGTTTCAACAGTTGAGTATGGATGCGGAGAGGCTTGACATAACACCTCAGCAAAACTATGGGCGTGCGAACAAAAAAAGTGAGGGCTTAAAGCGTAGTGAAAAGCTCCAACACACTGAACGACGTCATCTAAACTAGAAATGACTACGCCTTAAAGCGACCCGGAAGAGCAAGTAGTCTCGCTGACAATCTGATACAGATGAAACGATCGGAGCATCTCATTTAGCCGGTCCTGTGCAACGTTTCTAGCGGGATCCAGTAAATTGCAATCTAATTTACCCATGATGACGCTCGGTCTGGGGTGCTGAGCGAGTACTCGGGAAAATCATAATCACATGGAGATGACGTGATCAACAAGGATGCTTTAGACGAATGGCGTTACAGAGACTGTAAATCGTGATCATTTACGCCGTTGGCTGCGTTCTGTATGCATCCATGGGTTGTACCGGCTACTTCTATTGGTGCTCCTATCCTACCAGGGCTTGCATTGATACTGATCATGCACGTGCCTAACCTCCGAGATCGCACGGAATTACGCCAGTGGAGTCGCGTTTAGTACGAAGAATGGGCCGACGCGGATGGTTACGTGTGTTACCACGAGGTTTGTGTGGCGGCGATACATGCGCTGACCAATCGGTCTGGGCCTACTGCCGTTGTATTATCGCGGGGCGCTGTCTCCACCGCTATCGAGCACAGTGATGAGTGACGGTATTCCCCGGTGCTCCCCGCGCCAGCGTTTGATCCCTATCTGTCTCCAATCGGATGACGACAGCCTTTTTGAGGCGCTCAGGTGGCACGCTGTGCGTCAGTTCACGCCCCTCCGTCTGTCCGGCAGCTGTCTCCGGCCGCTGCCCTCACGCCGCCCGGTCAGCTGCCGTCCGTCCTGACGCCGCCGCCATGCCGCTCGACCGGCACGACTGTCTGGCGCTGCTAGTGCAGCTGGCCGAGGAGGAGGACTTGCGCGTCACCGTGAAGGGCTCAGCCTGGGGCGCGCTGGTGGCCGGCTTGGGCGCCTTCGTCGGCGGCGTGGCGCTCGGCCCGCCCGGTCTGCTTCTTGGTCAGTCCCCCCCGCCGCAGGGTCTGTCTCCCCCGCCGCTGGGTCAGTCTCACTCGTCGCAGGGTCAGTGTCCCCCAACGCTGGGTCGGTCTTACCTCACCACCGGGTCAGTCCCCCTTCCCCCCGCCACTGCTGGTTCAGTCTCCACATCGTTTGGCCAGTCTCACCTCACGGTTGGGTCAGTCCCCGTCGCTGGGCCAGTCTCACCCACCTCTGGGTCAGTCTCCCCCCCCCCGCTGAGTCAGTCTCCTTCTGCCGCTGGGTCAGTCTCACCCACCGCTGGGTCAGAAGCACCCGCCGCTGGGTCGGTCTTGCCCCGCCGCTGGGTCAGTCCCCCCCCCCTTCCGCCGTCCAGTCAGCAGTGAGGTACAGTTTTTGTGCGCTGTTTCTGCTGAGAGAGGTACCCGAAAGACTCAGAACTACTGTATTACATCCACCAAGAGTGCTGTTGAGGCCAGATAGTGGATGCTTCTGAGTCGTGAAAGTGGTTCGGTCATTGCCTGCTCTAGAACTGGACGCATGCTCCCCTTATCCTGGTATCTCCTGTCCCGTCGTGTTCCTCATGTGCAAAAGCGACCGTACTACTTGTTTGCCAAACACTGCCAACCGGGTCGAGTGAGTCAGCGCCCCACGCGATCTGGTCCAAAGGTCTATTCCGAAATCTTCACTGCTCTCCGGCAGCTGACATGCTCCCCCTTCGCGTCAGCCACCTCTAACTCCGGCCGGCTCCGGCAGGCGGCACTGCCGGCGGCGGAGCGGCGTACGCCATGAGCCGCGACCAGTTCCGGCCGGCGGCGCAGGTGATCCGAGAGATGCCGCTGGACCGGCAGCGGCGGCTGGTGGCCTCTGCCAGCAGCCTGGTGCAGCGCATCCGCGCCGATGACGTCATCACGGCGCTCGCCATGCTGGCCACGGGCAGCGTCATGGGCGGGCTGCGCACGGCCATCATCGGCCAGGTGGTGCACTTCCTCACGTCCGAGATGGCGCTGCAGATGGTTGAGTGACATGCCTGTAGCTGGGGCTCGCGTGTGTCGCTGGGAGCGGTGCGCTTCAGACGGGGCTCGCGTGTGTCGCTGGGAGCGGTGCGCTCACCATGCTGGCCACGGGCAGCGTCATGGGCGAGCTGCGCTCAGCCATCATCCGCCAGATAGTGCTGTTCTTCATTGAGAGATGTCCTTGAAGGTGGGCGAGTGACGTGCCTGTGACCGGGGCTCGCGTGTGGCGCTGGGAGCGGTGCGCGTCAAAGGGGCCTCGTATGGCGGTGCGCGTCAGACGCAGGAATCAGGTCGAGTTGGGTCGAGTCACGCGCGGGGGGAGAGGGTACAGAACGGCAGGTACTGGACACATGGCGTGCAACGCCGGATTTTTGGCATGCGAGCGGGTTTCCATGGTGACCGTAAGTGATGTACTTTGAGACGCCAGCTTTCAAACGCGACATGACTGATCAGTCGTCGGTAATTGTTTATCGTTCCCCTTTACAGCCACCCGGTAATTGTTTAACGTCATATTTTGGTGGGAGCTTTTTGAGCTGCGTTGCGTCGTGTCTTGTGTCGTGGTTCACGGGAAGCATCGCGGACTTTCCTCGGTGGTATTTGGAGCGCTGAGGGCTCCGGTCATTACAGCTTTCAGCGCAGGCTGTAGTCTGTAACATGGCTGGTACGGATGCCGAGCACGTATTTTCTTTGAGCTCTTACGATCAGACTGCACTTAAATGTGAGCGAACAAACTACGAGAAGCCATTGTCGATCAGAATGGTTGACATTGCATCCAATACACAGCTGTGATGGAATTGTTCTAAGTGCTCCCAGTGTTACAATATACCGTGGATTGGCCTGTACGGGCATGGTGGATGGTTTGACTGAGGTGTCTGTTGAACAAGAGCCTGATGTGTGGAAATGCAGAAGAAACGTCCTGAAAGCTGTATCTTCCTTTACAACTAGCGCCGTCGACAGATTTTAATGCCGTTCATTAGCACATACGGCAAATCAATGCTGCACAGAACCAGGATCACGGGAAGGGAATAAAGAGCACGAACGCGTGGGTAACGTATCGCGCTAGATCACCAGACGTCAGGCAATCCGATCTGACGACAAACACTTTAAAATTATTTCAAGTCAGCGGCGTCTGCGCGCTTTGTGAGTGCGAAGTGCAAGAATTCTTCCCGGACGAAATGAATGATTACTTTATCAAGGCGAGCCCCCCGTGTGGCAGCCAACCTGACTGGTCTCGGACAGCCACCTGACGTCCCATGTCGCCTGCCCAAGATGGGCGCTCGCGGTTTCCGGGTGACTTGCACGACCCTTGGTGGGCTGCACGAGGTCATGTTGTCTTTGAAGCGTTCCCGGGCGTGTAGATCTGATGCCGCTTAAATTCGTATCCTATTCGTATCCGTCGCCGCTGGTTGACGACGCTCCCGTGCCTACCCTGCCGTTGACAGTCCTGGCTCCCGTCTCCGCTGGCCGGCAGCGCTCCCGTGCCTACCCTGCCGTTGACAGCCCCGACTTTCGTCGCCGCTGGCCGGCAGCGCTCCCGTGCCTACCCTGCCGTTGACAGCCCCGGCTCTCGTCGCCGCTGGCCGGCAGCGCTCCCGTGCCTACCCTGCCGTTGACAGTCGTGGGTACCGTCGCCGCTGGCCGGAAGCGGTCCCATGCCTACCCTGCCGTTGGCAGCCCCGGCTCTCGTCGCCGCTTGCCGGCAGCGCTCCCGTGCCTACGCCTCGAAGGCCGCTCCGCCTTATCGGTGGCCTCATACGGGGCGCCAAACAACCCCGACATCCACTGCACGAGAGGCGGCTGAGTGTCCGGCGAATTGACGGGATATCAGCCGGGGACTCCCCGCCGTTAGCACCAAACAGCTCCTGCTGACGTCAGCCACAACTTGTTGAGCCCACACTTGTACACTGAAGATACCCCGTCGATCCTTGGTCGTCGCCGAGGAGCGTGCAAATGACTCATAGGGTACGTGCGTACGGCTGGATATAGCAAGGGAATGGGGGTTCAGAGGGTGAAGTTGTCCTCCCCTGCCTGCAGGCCAGGAGGCAAGGGAACGTTTTTGCCTTCCCAAAATAGGACCTTTTTCCAAAACTGAAGCCTTTTTGAAGGTACGGATCAAGGAGGCTCTCATAACTGAGTTAGAAAACAATAAATGAGGTTCAAAAGACTTCTTTCTACATCAAGAGGCTTGTTTTGCGGACCTTAAGATCACGTTTATAAATAAGGGCCACCTTCATGAATAAAGCAGTAGTCTATGCTCTATATCAGGATGCACAAAGTCGCATTAAAGATGCCCCTTTGCTAGATCGGGAGGCCCCAATCATAAACTAGGAGACCCTGCGCTGTGGTAGGTGGCACCTTTTGTATAAAGGAGGCCCCATTTTTGGGACAGGAGGCCTTTTCACACATCACATAGCCACGGTTTTGAACCACGATGCCCTATTTTGTCATAGCGAAGCTTTTGGCCAGCCTTGGAGGCCCTTCGTGAGCCGGCAACTACCTCTTTGGATTAGGAGGCCTTGTTTCAAGTTACCGAGACCCTTTGCTGGTCAATAAGAAATACCCATTCCCTTGTTTTATTATCGACGGTTATTTGCTTGGATGTTATCCATGTAACTGGTTTATAAAGGAACATATGCTCTCTGTACAACTCTTCCTTCAATGCTGCACGGCCCATAGCTTCCTGTTTTGTCCAGGAGGCCTCCTTAGAACTCCTGCTCCCCAACTCAAAATGCGTGGGGCCGCCCCTGCTTGCGTGGTTGGCACTTTGGCTCATCTCTCGTGCGAAAGACCGGGCAGTGAGCTGAGAAGAGGAGACGTTGTTTATTACCGCATTATCTTCAGCATCCACACCCACGCTCACACCCACCCACCCACCCACCCACACCCACACCCACACATACACACACAGACACACACACACACACACACACACACACACACACACACACACACACACACACACACACACACACACACACACACACACGCACACACACACATTTGTATTATATATTGAAAGGAACAGAAACGAAAACCTGGCGATCGACACCAGCCGACTAACCGATAGTGGCAGTCGCCTGGCAATGACCACCCACACGGCACTAGCCGTGTCGAGTATGTCCAACGTGAGTGCTGGGTGGCAGCCTGCGCCCCGCCTTATGGCTACCAGCCAGAGATTTCCGAGGCAGTCTTTAAAAGGAATTTTCTACATTTGAAGATATTGGCACGAACATCAGATATGATGAAACCAGCTCCGTTATGACCATCGGTATATTCTTAAGTGGAAAGGATTACTCTAGATAGTAGAATTATCTGGTTAGTAAACATACTCTTCAATGCGTCATGGTTTGATTACATCGTTGTACCACGCACAACATTGACTGAGAACCAATGGGCCACCGTTTTATCTGGAAGTTGCGCTCACGAACACCAGATAGGAACGGTTCGACAGTTATGTTGTTTTGGGGATTTGTTTGCTGCATGGCTTATGAAATGGTAGGGTTTAAATGACGTTATTATGACGTCATGCGTGCCGAGGTGACTGAAATACTCTCTCCGATATACCTTTCCTCACTTCCGTGGGCGTGTGCCACAGAATCTAGAGGGGCTTAGCTCTTAAAAATGGCGGGATTGTAAACAGTAACGAGACATTCAAGATGGCTACTTTGGTTCAAAGCCTCATATAAATGTGGAACACTCTCTTTAATAGTTGGCACATCAACTTCCTGCCGAAGCCGTGCATATCCAACAACGTCTGAACCCGCATGATATAGTCCCACGTCGAATACCGATAACTCGTTTGGACATTCCTTTTTCTCCTTTTTTCCCGCTCAGCCCACAAGCCCATTTTGCGAAATTACACCCGTGTGGTGGAGGCTTTACGACCGTGACACGAGACGGATTCACCGCCAGATTAGTTCAGCGTCAGGTCTGGAAGTCTGGGCCCATTTCCCAATCAAGAATAAGGTCGGGGACCGCGATTTACATCGGTCGGGTCATTGAGCCAGTAAGGCGCCTCCCTGTGTCGGCGGGGGACCACAGTGCCTAACAAGGGTCTTGCATTGGTAAGGTTCACCGTACAAATTGTGACACATTTATCAAACACTCATAAATGTTTGTTGACAAACAAAGCTGAACAATGCACAGACTACCAGCTTTCTGCATCATGATGACCATAGTTATTATGCTGCCGAAATAGTAAAATACAGGAATTAATGATGCAAAAAGAACAGCCCAGATTACTGTTCACCAACATAACAATGCTTAGATCCGTTGAGAAACACACATTTAGGGGAAGATTATGCTGATGAACAGGCGTATACCCCCCCCCCCCCCCCCCAATACTTCACAACACAAATCAACGTCCCTGTCGGGCAGTCTTCAGATCATGAGCGAGCTGCTACCGGCAGGTACATACCGGCTGGTACATATGACTAACGCGCGAATCAGATGCCGTAGAATTAAACAAAGGTAAGGGAATGTACTTTCCACACTACGGCCAACCATTACAATGCAATACGCGTGAGAAGTGAAGACCTCCGGAGGATTCTCTCCATATCTTCAATAATGGACAAACTGTTAGCAGCGGGGGCACAAAACAAGCTGGCAGACGGTCTATATTTTACTGGTCAGCATGACGTGCTCATTACATCTTACAAGTGAACCCGTCAACTGTTGCCCGCATTTGTCGCCTCCGTTGTGTGTTCTTTTTTCATTTGCATTTGATATGTAAAGGTCACCAAGTGCAACTGGGAATCCCGTGTTACAAACAACTATGCATTATCCGTACGATGTAGAAAATCCCATTTCAAATGGTAAATACGGTCTTACAATACTGAGATAAACTCGGGTGGGGAACTCCATCCTGGCTCTCGCACAGCCATATGTTACGTACAATGTCGTTCCGTGGAAATTTGGACGCCATCTCAAGACATGTCGAATAAATATTTCAAAAACCGCAGGGGACACATCCACCCCATCAGTGCGAGGGTTGAAAAGGAATCACTGTAAAAGTGAAAACGGATATGCGTGAACAATGGGGGCAGGCAGTTTAACCGTCGGTTTTCGTCCGTACCAATGGCAAATAGATTATTGGCAGGTGGTGCATATAGTCGGCGGCCGACCGGTTAAAATAAGGTGTTGGGAACGATGGTCAGCTTTGCAAACTCAAATACAGCAAGCCGTTTAATACGGCTCGTCTCAGAGGGGACCACGGGAAGCCCGTGTGGGAACTGACCGGCGTCATAGGCTAAAGGTACTCTTTTGCTGGATTGAATGGCACAGTATTCAAGTGTTTTACAAAATAAGGAATGCACAGCTTTTATTAAGAAGCACGAATATTGTCAATACCAAAAAACAAGCCACGGAATTCTTGTTCGATGCAGTGCTGGATGTGCAACCGATGGTGCCTGATGTGACCTCTGTGATGGTGGCACGATAATTTTCCATGAATACGTTTCAATGTTCAGTACAGTCGTCCCACCTCAAATACATTGAGTCAGTAATTTTGAGGTTAGCTTCGTCTTTGCATCTGCGAAGAACTTTGAAATAGAGAGAGATGGCCGGGTAGTTGCGTCTGGATGGTTTTATTTGGCATTGACTCTAAAGAAATACCTCTAGTAGTTTTTTCGCGTTAAAAACTGTTCATTTCACCGTAATCTGAGGTGGTGTTTGGTTTCCACTAGGTAGCCGACATGGCATAGGTGTGCACACTTTCCCAGTGCACCTGTGTCCCCTGTGCACCAAAAGTGCACGCATCACGAGCCTTACACCCCGACAGAAAAGGCGGTGGAGCTAAAGCAGATTAAACCAGAATGGCCGGTATTTTAACGGATGACCAGCTTGCTACGTTATCTTAATGGGCAGGTCAGAAACTCGTACTCTCGCCCGCACCTTTCCTGACATGTCGTTGTCAATTAATGGCAATGACAGATATGTCATACTTTTTGTCGGTCCCATGACCACCACATTTAAGCTTGTTTGAATGGTTTACTTTGAATTTCGCCTGTTTCATGATGGTAGGAGGGAAGCCGTTTGACCGAAAACGCGCCTCGACCTTTGCTATTCTTCGTAGAACGGAAGCTGGATTTGAAACCACCCGCTTAGCTCGAAGTATTTGTGAGTTAAGTACTACGAGTTTTGCCTGAACTGGGTGTGTCGAGGTGCAATGGAGGGTGATGGGGGTTCCACTGGGTTGCACAAAACCACGTTGCGAAATATGCCATCTGGGGGCACGGTATGTAGAAATGGTATTGGAAGGCGTATTGTTGTGTTTTACCAGCAGAAAATTTCACTGACGGATGAAAGTTGTTAAAGAAGTTGACACTCCTTTCACGTTTGAGCACCGTTTGTCCATAACCCCATGACGTCATTTATGTATCGGAGATGTACATACTACCTTGCAAATGGGGTATTCAAAGGGGTATGCACGGAAAACTTTAGCTACAAAAAATCCACCTGTAACACGTCTTTCGGCGGCCAGTCTTTGATCTAACACACACAGGCCGCAGCTACAGATCCCTCAGAGCCGCGCATTTGTATAGAGAATAAGACCGAACACTGATCCTTTTCTGACCTGAAATCCATGGCCAGATCTAACTGTGCAGGGCTCATGTTGGCTGACAATGCCAATGCGATTATCGCTCGATGCGCAGTGTGCATGAACTATTTTGTTTCCATTTACGTGCTTTCATCGCCCTTATGCCCAGTCAGACACATTATATTGTAAAGCCACTATTTGAAATGGTCGCTCGCAACTACTGCTTTAAAATGTGCGGAATGCTGGTCGTCTGTTAAAACAGCTTCACTGCTTATAATAGACAAAATAAAAACGCAGCCTGGTTTGGATGTCATCTTCGTGTACTAAGCGGGCTTTTTCAGAGAAGAGCTGATACGAACTTTCCATGCATCACTATTGTGTCGCATCCCAAACTTAGTCGCTTTTGTGCTCTTTGTCATCTTTGCTTTATTTACACAAACCCCCCACGAATTCACTCTACCGCACCGCATCAGTACACGCAGAATTGCTTCACTTTCGCGCTCACAAAGCGCGCAGACGCTACTAACTTCAAATAACTTTAAACTGTTTGTCGTCAGATCAGATTACCTAACGTCTGGCGACCTAGCACGATACGCTACCTACGCGTTCATGCTCTACTCCCTTCCCGTGGTCCTGGTTCTGTGCAGCGTGCTCCATCGCGTGTGTTTACAAGCGGCATTTAAACCTGGTGTGGCTTCAGATGTAAAGGATGTTACAGCTTTCGGAACGCTTCTTCTACATTTCCACACATAGGGTTCTTGTTCAACAGACACCTCAGTCGAACCATTCGCCATGCCCGTACAGGCCAATCCACGATTTATTGTAACACTGGGAGCACTTAGACCAATTCCATCACAGCTGTGTATTGGATGCAATGTCAACCATTCTGACAGACAATGGCTTCTCGTAGTTCGTTCGCTCACATTTAAGTGCAGTCTGATCGTAAGAGCTCAACGAAAATACGTGCACGGCATCCGTACCAGCCATGTTACAGACCACAGCCTGCGCTGAAAGCCGCGATGACCGGAGCCCTCAGCGCTCCAAATACCACCGAGGAAAGCCCGCGACGCTTCCCATGAACCACGACACAAGACACGACGCAACGCCGCTCAAAAAGCTCCCACCAAAATATGACGTTAAACAATTACCGGGTAGCTGTGAAGGGGAAGGATAAACAATTACCGACGGCTGGTCAGTCATGTCGTCTTTTGGAGCTGGCACCACAAAGCACATCACTTACGGTCACCATGGTAACCCGCTCGCATACCAAAAATCCGGCGTTGCACGCCATGTGTCCAGTACCTGCTGTTCTGTACCCTCTCCCGCCGCGCGTGACTCGACTCAGCTCGACCTGATCCCTGCGTCTGACGCGCGCCGCCATACGAGCCCCGTTTGACGCACACCGCCCCCAGCGCCACACGCGAGCCCCGTCTGAAGCGCACCGCTCCCAGCGCCCCACGCGAGCTCCGTCTGAAGCGCACCGCTCCCAGCGACACACGCGAGCCCCAGCTACAGGCACGTCACTCAACCATCTGCAGCGCCATCTCGGACGTGAGGAAGCGCACCACCTGGCCGATGATGGCCGTGCGCAGCTCGCCCATGACGCTGCCCGTGGCCAGCATGGCGAGCGCCGTGATGACGTCATCGGCGCGGATGCGCTGCACCAGGCTGCTGGCAGAGGCCACCAGCCGCCGCTGCCGGTCCAGCGGCATCTCTCGGATCACCTGCGCCGCCGGCCGGAACTGGTCGCGGCTCATGGCGTACGCCGCTCCGCCGCCGGCAGTGCCGCCTGCCGGAGCCGGCCGGAGTTAGAGGTGGCTGACGCGAAGGGGGAACGTGTCAGCTGCCGGGGAGCAGTGAAGATTTCGGAGTAGACCTTTGGACCAGATCGCGCGAGGCGCTGACTCACTCGACCTGGTTGGCAGTGTTTGGCAAACAAGCAGTACGGCCGTTTTTGCACTCCAGGAACACTACGAGACAGGAGATATCAGGATAAGGAGAGCACGCGTCCAGTTCTAGAGCAGGCAACGACCGAACTACTTTCAGGACTCAGAAGCATCCACTAACCGGCCTCAACAGCACTCTCGGCGGAAGCAACACGGTAGTCTTGGGGCTTTCGGATGCTTCTCTCGGCAGAAACAACACACAAAAACTGGATCTCATAAACAAACGATCGACGCTAGCCAGTCGCCTTCGTGGCTGTGACCACATGTACCGGTGCGCGGAGGCTACAGAGATCAGACCAGACCAATGCGCACGGTCTTATATCAGAAGACAAGTCTATGGTGGCAGTGCAGCAGTGCAGCTAAATGGTGTCCAGTCAGATATAGTCATCCGACTGACCAGCTGACCGGACGGCGGAAGGGGGGGGGGGGGAATGACCCAGCGGCGGAGCAAGACCGACCCACCGGTGGGTGTGACTGACCCAGCAGTGAAGTGAGACCGACCCAGTGGCGGCAGGTGAGACTGGCCTAGCGGCGGGGGAGACTGACCCAAGCGGCGGATGAGACTGACCCAGCGGCGGGTGAGACTGACCTAGCGGTGGGGGAGACTGACCCAGCGGCGGGGGAAACTGACCTAGCGGGGAGGGCACTGACCCAGCGGGGAGGGGACTGACCCAGCGGCGGAGGAGACTGACCTAGCGGCGGGTGAGACTGACCCAGCGGCAGGGGGAGACTGACCCAGCCGTGAGCTGAGACTGACACTGCCGGTGGGTGAGACTGACCCAGCGGCGGGGGGGGGGGGGACTGACCAAGAAGCAGACCGGGCGGGCCGAGTGCCACGCCGCCGACGAACGCGCCCAAGCCGGCCACCAGCGCGCCCCAGGCCGAGCCCTTCACGGTGACGCGCAAGTCCTCCTCCTCGGCCAGCTGCGCTAGCAGCGCCAGACAGTCGTGCCGGTCGAGCGGCATGGCGGCGGCGTCAGGACGGACGGCAGCTGACCGGGCGGCGTGAGGGCAGCGGCCGGAGACAGCTGCCGGACAGACGGAGGGGCGTGAACTGACGCACAGCGTGCCACCTGAGCGCCTCAAAAAGGCTGTCGCCATCCGATCAGAGACAAACAGCGATCAAACGCTGGCACGGGAAGCACCGCGGGATATCGTCACTCATCACTGCCATCGTTGGCGACGGAAACAGCGCTCCGCGGCTACACATGGGCGGAAGGCCCAGTTCGATTGGGCAGTACATGTACCGCCGCCAGACAAGCCTCGTAGTAACAAAAGCAACAATCTGCATCGGCCCATTCTTCATAGTACACGCGACCCTACTGACGCAATTTACTGCTATTTCGGAGGTGAGGCACATGCGCGATCAGCATCAGTGCAAGCCCTAATAGGATAGGAGCAGCAATAGAAGTAGGTGGTACAGCCCATGGAGGCGTACAGAACGCAGCCAATGGCGGAAACGGACATAATCTCCAGTCTTTGTAACGCCATCCGACTAAACGCATCACTATTTATCACGTCATTTACATGTGATTGCGATCTACCCGAGTACTTGCTCAGCATCCCGAATGATCGTCACCATGGGTGATTTAAATTGTAAGTTACTGGACCCTGCTAGTACCGTTACGAAGGACCGGTTCAATAAGATGCCCCGATCGCTTGATCTGAATCAGTTTGTCAGAGCTGAATTTTCTTCGGGTCACTTTTAAACGTGGTCATTTTCAATGACGATAACGTTTTGGAGCTTTCCACGGTGCTTTTGCGCTCACCATTTTGTTCGCACGCTCTTAATTTTGCCAAAGTGTTGTGTCAAGCCTCCCCGTTTCCATACTCGACTACTGGAACTGGTTGACTATGTTTGTTTGCCTAGTGATTTGTACCATATCAACTGGTCCGGTGTTTTTAGGCGCTCATTAGTCACTAATATGTGGTCCAAGTTGCTTGACCGTCTTACACCAATCATCGACAAACACGCTCCGATCCAACTAATGGCATGAAGGAATCCAGGCGCACAAGCTGTCATAACGGTGACCTTTTACCTCATGTCACAGCAAAGGCACAGCTCCCTATTGCGTCGCGAGGGGAGATCGCCGGCTTTCGGCGAACTGGACCGGAGACTGAGGTCGGCGATCAGGCGTGACTGCCGGTTGGATATCGAGGAGAGTCTGTATGCGCAGGGGAGCAGTTCTCTGCAACGCATTATTCACCCGAAGTTGGCGGGGAAAAAGAGCAGTGCTCGCAACCTACCAGCCGCGACCCCGGACGAGATGAATAATCATGTTGTCTGACGATCCCCGTGTTGCAGCCAACCTGACTGGTCTCGGACAGTCACCTGACGTCGTTATCAACACCTGCCTCACCTCCTGCAATTTTCCCAATTCCTGGAAACACTCCCTAACTCACTCTGTCCTCGTCCCAGCATGGTTTCCGTCCCCGCCATTCCACCGGGACTGTTCTGCTCATCGTGACCAACCGCATCTTTTCAATAAGGATCGTGGTCATCTTTCACTTCCGTGCCTCTTGGATCTCAGTAAATGTTTTGACGCCACTCCTCACGCTCAACTACTTTCCAAGTTCCAGCTATATGATACTGGCCCCGCTTGGTTCTCCTCCTATCTTACTGGCCATTTCCAGTCAGTCTTCCTCTCTTGGTGACAAAGTGGTCTCCAATCCCCTCCCCAATACCATGGGAGTCTTCCAAGGATCAGCCCCCGTCCTCCGTTATTCACAATCTTCGCCAACGACCTCGGCCTGCACGCGCCGGACGCTCATATGACCAGTACGCTGACGACAGAAATCCTCATATCCGATGTCAAACGCAACCTTCCTTCCCTCTTCCAACGTATGGAAACATTCCTGTCCTCCCTAGCATCGTGGTTCCGTGCCCACAGTCTCAAGTTCAACACATCCAAAACCGAACTCCTCCTTGGCACCCGACAGAACACTCGCGGACTTTTCCGTGTCAGCGTACGGGTCGGCGGGGAGATCGTTCGGGGGAGCTTGACCGTAAAAAGTTGGGTGTGCTACTTGACCGCCACCTGATCTGGGACGCACACATCAGTGATGTAGTAAAAAAGAGCATCGGCGTCCTGATCGGCCTCAGACACCTCAGACATTCCCTCCCGCAGCGAGTGCTGCTGACCATAGTGCACGGTCTCGCCACCTCGCGCGAAGTTACTACTACATTCCGGTTCATGGCCAGAGGTCAGCTGTTAACGAGGTCAGACTGCTTAATATAGTTAACTTTGTTACCAGAGTAGTAGCTGGCCTACGAAAGAATGCTCACGTGTCTCATGCGCAGGATGACCTGCACTTTGCCACGCCTGGCCGAATGTGTGACGTACAAACTGTTATCACTGCGCACAAAGCCAGTGAGCGAGGTGAGCCTGAGGGTCCAGCCTGTTTGCTTCATACATCGCTGACGCGCGGACCAGTGACCGAACTACCCGCATGGACTATTACCTGTGTCCCCCGGCGGTACGGACGTCGGCAGGACAGCGGTCCTTTGCATACCAAGCGGCGCCTCTCATTGGTGAGTTGCCTGTGGACGTCCGACGACCGAATTCAAGAGGCTTTAAGCGCGCTGCTAGGTTCTTTTCTGCACGATGGGGTATTTTCATTCTGTTTGGGCGTACAGGCGGTTTTTACCCTCATCACTTTCCCTTCTTTTATGTTTTATCCCTCTGACTAGGGACACGCAATAGCCACGTATGTACGTGAAATGTCAGCTGATGTCAAATACACAAACAAATACCAATTCGCCCGATACGACTGCGCGTTGCAATCGACACCATTGGTCATTACTAGGTTCCTACAAAAACAGTCAGCAATTACCGCATTAATTCGTCGCTTAACCCTTACGCTTATGGACAAAAAACCCTATTGCCGAAATTGCTCCAGACTGCATCTCATCTACCGACATGCCACTAAAGCATTGGCAAGCCGATGTTTTCAGCAATCCTCTTTATTCGTAGAACCCCTTCTGGTCATCGCTAACGCTCATTTGACCACCGGTGTCCTCGTTCAAGCAAGCGTTGCTATACAGACACCTCAAACAAACGTCAACCATAACTTTTGACAGAGAAACAAGGCTACCTTCGAGCCACGGTGTGCAAGAACCGGCATGGAAAGCAAGGAACGCCGCGGGAGAATGCTGAAACAGACGTGTCTGCACTTGTGTCGGGTTTGAGGCGGTGACAGCTCTGGCTCCCGTCGCCGCTGGCCGGCAGCGCTCCCGTGCCTACCCTGCCGGTGACAGCTCTGGCCCCCGTCGCCGCTGGCCGGCAGCGCTCCCGTGCCTACCCTGCCGGTGACAGCTCTGGCTCCCGTCGCCGCTAGCCGGCAGCGCTCCCGTGCCTACCCTGCCGGTGACAGCCCCGGCTCCCGCCGCCGCTGGCCGGCAGCGCTTCCGTGCCTACCCTGCCGGTGACAGCCCCGGCTCCCGCCGCCGCTGGCCGGCAGCGCTCCCGTGCCTACCCTGCCGGTGACAGCCCCGGCTCCCGTCGCCGCTGGCCGGCAGCGCTCTCGTGCCTACACTGCCGGTGACAGCCCCGGCTCCCGTCGGCCGGCAGCGCTACCGTGCCTACCCTGCCGGTGACAGCCCCGGCTCCCGTCGCCACTGGCCGGCAGCGCTCCCATGCCTACCCTGCCGGTGACAGTCCTGGCTCTCGTCGCCGCTGGCCGGCAGCGCTCCCGTGCCTACACTGCCGATGACAGCCTCGGCTCACGTCAGCCGGCAGCGCTCCCGTGCCTACCCTGCCGGTGACAGCCCCGGCTCCCGTCGCCGCTGGCCGGCAGCGCTCCCATGCCTACTCTGCCGGTGACAGTCCTGGCTCCCGTCGGCCGGCGGCGCTCCCGTGCCTACCCTGCCGGTGACAGTCCTGGCTCTCGTCGCCGCTGGCCGGCAGCGCTCCCATGCCTACCCTGCCGGTGATAGTCCTGGGTCCCGTCGGCCGGCAGCGCTCCCGTGCCCACCCTGCCGGTGACAGTCCTGGCTCTCGTCGCCGCTGGCCGGCAGAGCTCCCGTGCCTACCCTGCCGGTGACAGTCCTGGCTCCCGTCGCCGCTGGCCGGCAGCGCTCCCGTGCCTACCCTGCGAGAGCCGCCTTACCGACGACCTCGAGCGGGATGACAAACGTAAGCCCGGCACGTAACCCCGGCGGAGAGTCCCCCGCCGGGGAACCGGCCAGGGACTGCCCGCCGTCAGCACCGAACAGGTCCCGCTGACGTCAGCCACAGCTCACTGAGCCCATACTTGTTCACTGAAGATACCCTGTCGATCCTTGGTCATCGTCGAGGAGCGTGCGAATAACTCATAGAGTACGTGCGTACAGGGACCGCGCAGCATGGAGGGGGGGGGGGGGGAACAGAAGGTTAAGTTGCCCCCCTGCCAGCAGGCAGAGACAAGGGTATATTAATAAGGGTATATATTGCCCCCCCCCAAAAAAAAACAAAATGGAGAGCTCTTTCCAAAACTAAAAGCTTTTAAAAACCCAGATCAAGGAGCCCCTAAGAACTGAGCTGGAGAGCAACAAATGTGGCTCAGAAGACTACTTTCCACATCAAGAGGACCGCTTTCAGGACCATAAGGTCACGTTTGTAAGGGCCACCTTCATGAGCAATAAGGTAGTCCAGGTCTGGATCAGAAGGCATCATGTTGTATTAAGGGAGTCATTTGCTGGATCGGGAGGCCCCATTATCAACCGCGAGACCCTGTGCTGGGTCAGCTGGCACCCTCTCTATCCAGGAGGCCCCATGTCTGGAACAGGGGGCCTTTCATGCGTCATATAGTCAGGGTTCGGAATCAGGATGCCCTGTTTTGTGAAAACGAGGCCCTTGGCCAGAACTGGAGGCTCCTCTGTGATCCGGAGGCGTCCTGTTCTAGATAAGAGCACCTCTCTGCATCGGTAGGTCCTGTTTAAGGTTACCGAGACCCTTTGTTGGATAATTCGAGAGCCCCATTCCGTTTTCTATTACCGACATTGACTTGGGTATGATGCATGTAGCTGTTTGATAAAGGAACATAAAGG